CGGCTCTAAATGAGAACTGTGCGTGACTCCGCAGTTCCCTCGCAAACACTGTGGTCTTGTGAATTTTTAGTAACACGACTGTAAATTCAAGAGCGCTCGCTGGGGAAGGGAGGGAACGCTGAACAAGGCCGGCGGTATTTTCTCTAACACCATATTTTGAGTTGTTTTTGTTCCGTTAAAGAAATGCCGTTTCAGATTTTTATATTACGTTTCTCGAGGTTAGTTTATAACGTCTTGGTTTAAAAAGTCCAATATTTGTGAAGTAATTTTACATTTAATTTTTGAGGAATTCTTAAACCTACTTGGACTCTTAAAGATAACGGTTCTTTATTGGTATCAGTGGTTCCACGAAGAACCTTTCCATTCCACACATATAATGGAAAAAGGCTCTTTAGATCATTAAAATATTATTTTTTAAAATGGTTCTTTTAAGAACTGATCACTTAAGGGTTCTTTTTGGAACCCAAAATATGGCATCACTGCAAAAACCCAATTTTGGAACCTTTGTTTTTAAGAGCTGCAGTGTTTTTTGTAATAATAGCACTTTTAAAACTATATGCCATTTTTTTTATATCCCTTGACAGAACAACATCTGAATTTGATGGTCTTACTCGGCATCTTCATGCAACAGCTTTACGGCTCTTGTGATTGATGGACAGACGCGAGTCGTTCAGAACACGCCTCCGTGATTACATACGCTGATGACGCACGTCAAGTGCGTGTCGAGGTTAAATCGTGACGTCACCATTCTTCTGTTTTCAAATCTTGGCAAAAGGTTCTGAACACTCTTAAAAAATAAAGGTTTCAAAAGGGTGTTTTTCACAGTGATGCCGTAGAAGAACCATTTTTAGTTCCCCATAGAACCTCTCAGTCAACCGTTCTTAAAAGACCCATTATTTTTTAAGTATGAAGAACATTTTAATAATCTAAAGAACCATTTTCCACTATTGTCCAATGGAAAGACCTTTTTCCACTGTAAAGAACCTTTTAGGTTCCATGGATGTTAAAGGTTCTCGGTAGATTCCAAAAAAGAACCTTTATGTTTAAATGTGTTCAATTAAAATGTATTTTGTTCTTTTAAGAACTGTCGGCTGAAAGGTTGTTCAAAAGGAACCAAAATGGTTCTTCTATGGCACCACTGAGAAAACACCCTTTTGGGACCTTTATTTTTAAGAGTGTAGTAAAGATGGCGATTTCTTCAATTTGTTGGCCTTTTTCATTCACATTATGCATTTGGCTGGCACTTTTTTCCAAAGCAACTTGCTCTGCATTCATATTATCAGTTAATGCGTTCCCTGGGAATCAAGCGCATGACCTTGGCATTGCAAACACCAGCTGCTCTATCAGTTACAGGCAGGGCTGGACTGGGACAAAAAATCGGCCCTGGCATTTTTTGGTCCAGGCGGCCCACCACCACTTTGAGAGAGATATATACACACACTATACTAGTCAATTTTTTTGAACAGTAAGATTTTTAATGTTTTTTAAAGAATTTTCTTCTGCTCACCAAGCCTGCATTTATTTGATCCAAAATACAGCAAAAGCAGTAATATTGTGAAATTTTTTTTCTATTTAAAATAACTGCTTTCTATTTGAATATATTTTGAAATGTAATTTATTCTGCGATTTCAAAGCTATATTTTTAGCATCATTACTGCAGTCACATGATCCTTCAGAAATCATTCTAATATTCAGATTTGCTGCTCAAAAAACATTTATTATGATGTTGAAAACAGCTGAGTAGAGTTGTTTCAGGTTTCTTTGATGAATAGAAACTTCAGAAGAACAGCATTTATCTGAAATATAATTTTTTTGTAACATTATAAATGTGTTTATCGTCACTTTTGATCAATTTAAAGCATCCTTGTTAAATAAAAGTATTAATTTCTATAATTTCCCAAGGAAAATAAATATACTGACTCCAAGCTTTTGAATGGTATATGTAGCCTATAATGTTACAAAAGCTTTTTATTTCAGATAAATGCTGATCTTTGGATATTTTTTATTGGATCTTTCTTACTGTTCAAAAAAATGTTTGACTGGTAGTGTGTGTATGTATGTGTCACACTCGGGCTTCATGCACTCATGATTTTTGAGGGGGCAGGAGTGGGGGGGGCTCGTCATGCTTGTCATGTGACACAGCAGCCACAATAGCACTGTATAACTGATATAGGCTTATGCTTTATTTTATTTTTTTCCTTTTTATTCGAAATATTTCCAAACGTGTATCAGGAAATATCTCGATTCTCAAACAAGTAAGTAAATGCGTTTTTGTACCAGATTGTTATTTGTGGGTGACAAAGTAGAGTAATAGTGTAATCTATTAACTACACATAAAAACCCGAATTTTTACTTAAATAGGCCAGATATGGGTGTCATGCCATAAAATATTTTTAACACGACTGACTTTGTATTTAATGTGAATTTAATAACAATATTGTAAGTTAGGCTACTATATTAGGCTATAACATTTTCATTTTACAGAGAGCAAAGAACATTTAAATTATCAAAGAACATTTTCACTTCAGTCTAGCCAGAGTTCAAACACTCTCAAAAACTCCCATTTAAATCACTGAAGCAGTTTACACTGTGAAATTAATATCTTACTTACATTCGTACGCACATCTGCACAGTCAGCGAGCGAGTGAACAAAACACCGCATTTCAGCGATGACTCATCTGAACGGCTCTGATTGGCCATTGCATTCATAAGCTCAACAGAGTTGTGTGTGATTGGTTATAATGCAGCGCTGTACAAACGCGTCTGTCTCTGGCTCAGTGCCAGCCAAAGCACGAACGCAGATTTGCATAGCAGCTGATGCTGTGCCGCACTAAACGATCTAATCACACCGGTGCGATTGTATCAAATATAAAAAATATTATTCGGCTATTTTTTGTCTTTTGGAAGCTGCATTTAAAATCCATTTGGCTCAGAAATCTGAGGGGGCATGAAAACGTGGGAAAAGCCGACGAGGAAGAAGTTGGGGTGAAGCGATCTTTATATAGGCGGAGCAAAATACTTCATCGCTCCGTCTATAGAGCATTGTGATTGGATGTTTACGCTGTTAATACAGGAGACAAACCAATGGGCCACTGGCTGCTGGCTTTCCTTGCATGATGGTCCTCGGCAAAAAAAAAAAACTTATTTTGGCCTCTTAAGCGCGTCGGCCCACCGGGAAAATGCCCGATTACCAATCCAGCCCTGGTTACAGGCCTCTTCTGCAGGTTGGCTTTGGTGAACAAGCAGTGAGTCACAATAGGAACAAATGTTTGTGCTTCTTCAGTCGTCGCATTAACAACCAGCCATATCTTACCTTTCCGTTTTAAATTTTTCTTTCACTTTGTACAGATTTTATATTTGCTGTGTATTGAATAAAATTTGCTGTAGAATTGACTTTGAAACAGCGTTCTCTCAGAAATTGCTGGTAAATTTAATAACTTATTACAAAGACGCGTTGAATTGGACATACCATGTTAAAAGACTGAAATGGCGCTCCACTGATCTGTTTTGTTTACAGCGTTTTCCAGTGTACACCTGTTGTCTTTGTAGAAACCATGAAATCGAAAAGCCAAATTTGGATTGTGTACAGACATTGTTTTGCATTGACGTTCTTCTGAGGAATCAGTTTAATTTAGTTGTTCTTATTAAATAGATCTGTATAAGAGATGTTTGCCGAACCCATTTATCATGAACACACCCAAGAGCATGAAGGATGCATGTCAACACAGAAATGGATTAATTACTTTGGAGTAGTTCAAGTTCATTTGAAATGAATTTGGCACATTTATCTCTGGTTTTAATTCTTTGTCACTCACCAAAAAGCTTTAATTCAATTCAACTAAGCCCATAATTAGACTCTTGCGTGCAGTAGAGTTTGTGAAATCAAACGGTCGAGGAGGAACAGCTGCAGCTTATGATGAACCTAAAGCATTAAGCATCGTTGGCCATGAGTAATAATCACAGAGAGCGCTAATGGTTCTTGGCATTACGGTTAAATAATCCCAGACTCTGTACTGTGTTCGCAGACTGATAATTGAACGTAGAGGTTTGACGTTGAGCTTAATGTCAGCTTATGCTTTCATAGCTGTCTGTTTGCAGTCACTGTAATTGTATTACTCATCCCCGCTTTATTCCTTTACCTTACTTGAAATGAATGTTAATGAGTGATGAGCTTGAATAATGATAAACTCGTTCACATCTAACCCTGCATTGAAGTTTTTCTCTCATAGGCCTAAAACTTACTTATTCTGGTATTACTTTATAAATGACTTGAATCAAATGTAGGTAATGCAGATCAGTAGTCTTATAATAATATTATTAGTAGTAGTAGTATTATCAATATTTATATTTTTATGTCTTTGATTTTATATACGTATATTTTAAATCTAAAATGTTATGTACAATAAAAACAAATTATATTAACAATCACTGAAGAATTTTGTATTTACACTATTATTATTGCATTAGTATTAGTAAATATTATTATTAGTAATAGTATTAATAATAAATATTAGTATTATTAATAGTTTTTGTATTTTATTTGAACAATAACTGGTCAATTTTATATTGCTAATAATAATGGTTATATAATAAAAGTTATGCATATATATAACTATATATTATGATGTTGTTAATATATTTACTACAAGCAAAAATTATATTTATTTTGTTATTATTATTATTGTACTTTTTTATTTATAAACAATTTACCAATAAATGAAGAATTTTATATTATAAATTGATAATATTTTTGTGTGTGTATATATGTGTGTGTGTGCGTGCATATATATATTTTATGTGTGTGGGTTAGTTATATATTTATTAATTACTATTTATGGATTTTTTTCAGATGGTGGTTAAAATACAGTAGTAATTGAATGCTTTTAAATCATCCCGCGGGTGTGATTCCTCTCGCAGTTTTAATGAACAATGGTTTGACGTGGTTCTGTTATGAGTTTATTTTCACTCGCTAACTGAGTCCTTTCTGTAATCTCCCGCAGATGGAGTCTCCGGTCTCCACGCCGGCTCCGCCACCGCTCCACCTCCTCGCTCCTGTCGGCATCAGCGACATCTCCTCCTCGTGTGAGCAGATCATGGTCCGCACGCGCTCCGTGGCCGTCAGCACCTCTGACGTGGCTCTGGCCACCGAGCCCGAGTGTCTGGGTCCCTGTGAGCCGGGCACCAGCGTCAACCTGGAGGGCATCGTCTGGCAGGAGACCGAGGACGGTAAGGACCCGAGCCAGATGGATGTTACATGCTGTCGGTTATATTTAATGCCTCGATTTGGGGGAAAAGCTAATTGCAATTTTTCTGCGAGTTGTGATTTACAATGCTTCAGGTTTTCTATGTTTGCTTGTAGGGTTGCACAGGTTGGCAAAAAACTCTTTAGTAGCTATTTAAATAGCTGCTGGGGCAAGTTATGTTCTCAAATGCATTATAAGTGTCTCAAACGAGCCGCTCTTGAGATGCTGAAAACACTGGATCATGAGCTGCTCATGTGTAAATGAACACAGAGCCGCACTTAAAACATTTTATTTCAGCTAGTTGCTAAAAAACTGAAACTAAAATTGCTTAAATTTTAACTAAAATTAATAAACTAAAAACAGTTTTAGTATGACTATAGTTTTATTTTATATATATTTATATAATTTTTAAGTTTTTGTAATTTTGTTGTTTTTGTCAAATTTATTAGGGTCTATATAGTTTTAATTCGTTTTTATTTCAGTTCGTTATTTTAGTACATCAAGTTAAACTAAAAAAATAAGAAGAAGAAAAGTTTTTTTTAATATATCATTTTATGGCAGTTAACATTTGTCAAGTAACTGTTTATTTTTTTTTATGGTTTTAGTTTTAGTTAACTATAATTACCCTGAATATAAAAATAAAATCTCATTCAAAATGTCAACAAAGACTAATATATCTATAATACTAAAATAACACACAAGCCATTTCGTGATTTTGGTTTTATTTTGATTACTCAAAATCCTTAAATGTGCAGAAAATGAGTTTAAGATTTTTTCTATTTTCCGCCACACTGAAAGAATTGGATCATGTCCTTTCACTGAAGCCCTGCCCTCTAAAAACTGGCTAGTTCTCTGATTGGCTGACGCTCAGATTCTGTGATTGCTCAGGATACTTATTCTGTCAGCTAGCAAGGATGTTTAATATGTGGTTTCCCAAAAAATGCTCGCAGGATATTGTGCGTATATATAAATAATCAAGCCTTTTTTGGGCTTGTTACCCATCTGGTAAAGCGCACACTAGGGAGAACACACTTATATTTGCTTTGTTTTGCTTCCTGGACAATACTTCCAGCTTGGCTTTGCTCTGGAGCAGGTGATTGACTGAAATGCTGCTGTTTGCCTCATTACGCAAAGCTTTTTCTCCCATAAAACTGACGTTCTTTATCCAGGACTGGTGCCAAACTGTTTAGATCTGCATGTCAGGACTGAGTCGCTGTAGTCATTAGCCATTTGTGTGTGTCTGTGCTATAAACAAACAAAATCCAGACATTGCAGTTTGTTTTCTCCATCTGATAAAGCTTAACCCTTCTCGGTTTTTCTTCCCTAGTCCTCTTAAGTTTGTGTGTTTGTGTTATTTGCTTTTTTGCCAAACACTCCCTTTGGGCGAGTTTTATTTTAGCGGGCGTTTATAGGCAAATTAACCTGACAATAGAGGTCCTGTTTTAGCAGGCTAATGGTACTGTATGTTGTAACACGAGCAAGTCTTGCTCTGCTATTTGGCTGATGTCTGTTATTCGAACACCCGGCCATGTTTCCTCTTTGTTGCGATTAATGCAGAATCGCTGCGACTGACAATTTCAGACAAGGTCAAAAGGCACCATGCCGGTCTCATGGCATTTGACAAATGCAGAAAATAAGCCAGAGGAAAGTCTGAAAGTGCCTTCAGAGAGGGTCACGGGAATGAGCAGTAACAGCCAGACCAGCATGCCTTGCAGTTGGAGGCTGCGGAGTTGTTGGAGAGTCTGTTTGGATGCCCGGAGGCTTCCTATGCTCTTTGGAGAGTTGTGTAATAGATGGACTTCTGGGTTATTGGTCCATCTCATGTACTGTGGCTTAAATAACACTAGTGTGGTGTTTATGATGTTTATACGAGGCAGTACAAAATGTAATGAAGACAGACACTTGACATGTGGATGTCGGTTCAGGCAAGCTGGTCTGGAAAGTGCACAAAGAGCCCTGTTGGGCTGTCATGTTTGCCCTGGAGAGTGTGGTATTCATTCCTTTTCTTAGTCCCTCTTTTCTCTGTCAGTCAGACAGACCTCGCCGAGCCAAGCGCATACAGAATGCCAGATCTAGCCTGTCTTTTTCTCTCTCAGTTTGTGGTCAAGCTTCAACTCAGCCTTGCTCTGCTTTTGGTTTTGTTCCACACTTCCCTTTTCGTCTCTTCCCTTTTTCCTCCGATCTTCCATCAAAGTCTTTCTCCTCCTCATCTAACAGCTCTTACATTTCACAGCGGGGATGCGGCTAGCTTTCTCGGTTCCTGTCAGTGCTTGGCAGGCTGTCAGTATTGGACAACAATGACCAGATGCAGCTCGTTCTCGCTCTCATTTCTCTTCTGGCTTTTGCAAGCTGAAAATCCGAAACGGATGAAGACATCCTAGCTAAGAACGACCTCAACAGTGTTGACATTAGTTCCTCAGAGCTCTCTTCTGTAATATGAAAGCGTATGGGCAGATATCGCCTGGGAGCACAGATTCATTGTGTTTATTTTCCAGGTTTGAATGACAAGTTGTATTGTGAATATTTCACTCTCAGGATACCATCCTCCTGCTTTACTCAAGGGATTATAATTGCTACATGGCAACCCTTCGTCATCCACTGGGAAGAAGTGCTGAGGATGGATGTCTGGGGGGCAGGGGATGTTCTCACCCCTCTGCTGAGCACAAGTTACTCAGCTGTGCCAAATCACTAGTGTGGATATTACAAAAGAAGGGCCCCTTTATGTCCCTTCCTTCCCCTTCTCTCAGGAGACCTGCTCACCTCGGTCATGTGACCCAGATAATCAGTAGAGGAAACATGTCAAAGTATCACAACCTCATAAAAAAAATCAGATCTTTGACAACCAATTCAGTTCTCAGTTCTTTTTAAGATGACTGCACTAGTCTCGTGCAAAAACAGCTGTCAAACAGGAAAATTTGTGTTTGACTTTTATTAGCATGAGCTTATTTTCGATTCAGGATATCCTTTATTATATATTTCTTAAGTGGTTTGATGATCTTTTCATATGAATATTGAAAATAACGCGCACACACATTTATATTTATTTGTCCTATTGATAATTTAATCAAAAATACATAAAAATGCAGTTCATAAGAGGTGTATGATGGGCATTTTTTACTTCCTAAATTTCGTGTTATCTCGTGATGTGACTCCAAAAAGAAAGAAAGAAAAAGAAAAAATAATAAATGTGTACACATGTCATTCATGGTATACAATTTTTTATTTATTTATTGTGATTTGTACACCACTTGAGTCATTTAATTGAATTCACTGAATAAACTTTTCTTTGTGGACACAATCTTTTGTAGTATATATGTTTAATTTAGCTGTTGTGTGCATTATATTTTTCTGTCTCTATATTCTATATCCTATTTGTTTAACAACCTCTTGCTTCTGCTCTCTGTCTTTGCCCCTGTGTCTAAAAATGAGGCTAATCCCAAATTAATCAGACACAGTAACATCTGAAACACCCTTGAATACAGACACTCCGTGAGCTTGAGCTCTCATGAGTGACTTGTTAGCCTGCCTTTGTCTCACCTGGTCACACTGATGCCCTTTTCCACCCACTTTCGATCCATTTGACCTTCAGACAGTGAAAAGAGGGGCTATGGGGAATGACGAGTTAAAAGAGAATGGGAAAGGAGGTGCTGGGTCAATGCCGGTGGACCTGCAGTCTTGCCCCCTCCCCACACCCAGCGGGGCACTGGGGCAGATTACAGGGACCATGCTTGCCCATTAATGAAACTCTTTGCGGGAGAAATTAGACTGGTGACCCAGGCGGTGAGGGCCCCTATACCCCCCCCCCTTTTCTCTTTTGGGCTTGTCAGTTCTTTGTTGCCAATAGGATACTCTTTGATGGGGCTATTGGGGGAAGGTTGAACTAAGGGGCCTTAAGCAATGACGATGACCCCTTTATTGCTCGGAGACAAGGGCACTGTGTGGAAACGGGATATAAGATGACAAGTGCACTGTTCTTTGGGTGAAGGGGTTGTGGGATCAGACCTTCATTCTTCCAGTCACTGCCAAGGTTCTATTATAGACTAACCCAAAGAGAGTACTCTTCACCTCAGTCACTGAATTCAGCATGTTTGTTTATTGTTTTTTTCTCTTCAGGGCATGCTTTTTTCCATCAATTTGATCTTGGTATTCTTTGGGTGTGGTATAAGGGTCTTTTTTAGCACGTCGACATCCAGTCTTTTTAAGCTATCGGTTTCCCAATGTCAGTTTCATGTAATGTAGCTTGTGGTATTATGTTAAAGTGCTACCTGCCCTTCAAACAAAAGTGAAACCAAACAAACAAGAGCCCTCAGTCGACTAGCGTCAATCATTCAGGGCTTTTTAGTGTTTATTTCTTAACTCTGTGAGACAGCAAGCTCTTCTCTTAGCCCATAAAATGAGCCTGCAGTCTTAGTTTGGACTTGTCTGGCACACCAATTTGCTTCTCTTGGCAGCTAGGCAGCACAGAGGTATGCAAAACAGCCATTGAGAGCCCCGCGCAGCGAGTGGGAAAAACAGCCAAGGCGAGCACAATGAAGCAAGTGCTTTCAGCTTGTTCGCCGTCACGTTTTCCGTGATCCACAGACTCGCAATGATTCATCCTTTCAAAATTTCACCGTAAGGGGCGTACAGTGAAAGTTTGGGCAAGCTCTTGCAAAATCAACAAACAATGACATGGCGCTTTAACATGTTGATGGCTGTAGTGAATCTGTCACGTCGAATCCGCTCAAAGAGTCTGATTTAGCTCAGCGTGATTTGGAGCGAGTGCTCCGCTTAGAGCTGTGGTTTGTTGCAAACAAAGCGGCATTAGGATATGTATTTTTGTTTGTTGATCTGTGCAGATAACCATTTGCAGAACTGCATAAGATTTAACTGGCATTGAGAGGAGGGAAATGTGTAACGTTGAAAGAATTCACCAGATAAGTGGAACCAACTGCCTGAGGCTCCCTTCCCCAGAGAGAGGGAGAGAGTTACAGCTTGGTTAATGATTGGGCGGCTTTCGAGAGTGAATAAACGGCTGCTTCATGAGCAGATGGAAACAAGGTTGGGTTTTATGTCTCATTGTTTGTAGCCGGTTCAAACAGCCCTCCAACCCCCAGTTCTCAGTGCCTCACTTGCCTTAATCTTCAGAATTAGGAGCGCTGTCTTAATCTGTCTGCGACCAAACCTGAGAACGCCAAGATGATTTACAGGTTATCTGTGACTAATAACAGACGAATGAAGACATGGGGTGTGGGGAGGTTTTTACTATGCTATGTTCATAGCACTGTGAAGTGAGGGATTGTTGGTTTAAGACCAGATTGCGTTTCATATTTCTTGTTTGTTTTAAGGCATTTCTTGTTTGTTAAAGGCTTCATTTTCGTGGTGTAGCATGCAGTTTTGGTTCTCAGAACATTCTGGGAATGTCAAATTCTTAGGTTATTAAAAAAAAACCTAACCTATAGAGAACATTCTATGGGTTTTTCATTAGGTTGTTACTAGACACATTCCTGCATCTTAGAACCTTAGTTTTGGTTATAAAAATAAAATCAAAAAATAGGTTCTTGTTGGGTTGTCACACAAAAACCATCCTGCAACATTGAAAACGTTTGTTTAAGAAAAAAAAAACCTAAAGAGAAATTTCTTAAAACACTTTTTGGTTCCCAGAAAAATGACCAAACAGGAACCAAACGCTAACATTAAGGGAACATTCTATGTTTGCTGGGAAGACCGTTTGTGTTTGGTAAACATTAGGAGGCTGTCGGTCTGAACAGGTCAGGGCTTTAATTTACAGATTTAAGCACCTACTGTGGAAATATGAGCCATGCGGGAGAATTTGCAGCCACACCTGCAGTTATACAGCAGACATTGTGTGCCCTCTCTCTTTGCTTATAAAAACTAAAGTAGTCTGCAGTAAAGGTCTCCGGTGCAAGGGTGCAAATGTCGCTTCAAAGCTGACGTCTAGTGCTCAGGTTTCGTCAAGAGACTTGCTGACACGTAGAGGTCACTGGCAGGGAAGGTGAGCTACACACATACATATTCTCTGTACGTCGCAGTGTTTTCCCTTTGGCTGTGTGGCACACCTGTGTCATAATACTCTTTATTATTTCTGGAAGCGAGTACACACCTGTTTCCCAGCCTGTACTGTATTGGATTGTTTGAGTCTTGTTTTAATGAGGCTTTGAAACTGAAAGAATCAGACAGGGTTACAATTACAGCTTCCTTTTTATAGGGTGCTGGAATTAAGTCCTTGCGCTGCGTGCCATTAGAAATAGTATTATACATTTCAGAGAATGACACTGAATTGGAAGATTGGTTAACTTTGCAATTCACCTTGCACCACCGTTGGTGGTCCAGTTTCAGTGGTAACGATTGCCATTCAAACAACAGCTGATGTCATGCTAATTGTTAGCAGATGTAGTGGTATTTTATTCAGTCTTGTACAAAAGGCCAATTATCGACATTTCCCATTTGGAGACATGATTAGAGTATTCTGCTCAATTTCCCCACTTGTGTCATTGAGATGGAATGAGCGCCGTTGCAGTGGCTGCTCACAGTTGCCAGTTGTCAAGGAAACACAGCGTGAAAGGCAGAACTAAACACATGGAGGGTTTTTGTCTCCCTTTGCAGTCGACTGCAGTGTGAAATTTTTATTGCCTGGCACCTCTTGATAAGCTGTTTTAGAAGCAGGCAATTGATGCCCCATTGAGAATAGCGCCTTGCAACTTGAAATCAAACAGATATCTCATGTGCTTTGTCGGTCATAATGAGAGGTTACGGAGACTGTACTCAAAAGCACCATAGATCAATTTTGTGTGGCGTTTGGGAAGGTCAGTTGCTTGATTGTTGTGTGTGTGCGGTGGAATTGCATTGTGGGTGGCTGAGGACTTGGGTCTTCCAGGCACTTGATGTTTCCTGATACTACATCTTTAAAAAAATGATAGCTGCTGCCACCTGGTGTTAACAAATGAGGTTCAGTAAGTGTAGACCCATTTCCTGTCACTCTTTGGCAACTCTGCACATTTTGTTGTGCTAAATGTGAAGCAGATGGCACACAACCTGCAGGAAGCTGAGATTGAAGTTGACAGATCTGGGAATCCTGGATGTGGATGAAGCTTTTTGGACTGATTCCAATCCAAAACAAACACAAAACACATATAGAGTCCCTGCATACTGCAGAAATGTCAGATGAAGGACATGGGCTGACCAGTGTTCCCCACCACCCTTTCTTTACCTCTCTCTATCCTTTACTTCCCCTGCATAATAACAGCTTTTTGTGCACCCTGCTGTTCCTGTCGTCTTTATACAGGAGGTGTTCTAGATTTGGACATCTGTGCTGAGGAATGTAAAATCGGCAGTATACTTGTGCATTTATCTTTTTTGCCAACTCTCATTCATGTAGATCAAGAACTAATGCTTAAATTGTGCACATTGGCATTGCATCCAAACCTAGTCTGGATAAAAGATCCCCAATAAGATCTTTGACTTAAGATGATCTCAGCTGTAGTTTTGTCTTGTCCTTATTGTTGATCTATTTAACAGATGATTGCAGTTTGCTAAAAGGTGCATTCGTTCAGCTCCAGTAAAAGAAACCGTCACTTGAGACTTTGTTATATGAGTTTCAGTGGTTGAAGTCTTATTTCTTATATTAATGTTTGTTTGTTTTTGCAGGTATGCTGGTTGTAAATGTTACCTGGAGGAACAAGACGTATGTGGGCACACTTTTAGACTGCACTCGACATGACTGGGCGCCCCCACGGTAAGCCTGTACTGTTTGCAGGGTAAATTCAACCTAATTTACAAATGCATATGTTCAGTTTGCTATGAAACCAGTCCCTATTAGAATGTGACAAAGTTTTGCCAAAGAAATTCAGTGTAAAGAAATTTTTTGAAACAATAAATCTGTTTGAATTAATTCTGCGTGCTACATACTCCTGATAGACCCTCTCATCATCTCCTCTGGGCTTTTTTGTGCTGCCATTGCAGTAATGAAGGAAACATTGGAGGGTAATGTCTCAGAACGCCCCCTTGCTGACACCCACTTTTTGAAATGCAACATCATGAAGGAATTGATTTCTCCCAGCCCCCCTTTTTCTTTTCTCCTCCTTGCATCGATCTAAAGCAGCAGTAGTCCCTCATAGACCAGCATTTCAGTTACGATTCTACTGGGTCCCAATACCATGAACGTCTTGCCTGACACAATAGCTTGAGGCAATAATAGTGTTTTCAGGTCTAAAGGAGGCATCTTTTTGACCTTGCAAATGTTTTTTTACAGTACAGATACGTTTTTTTTCATGCTGTATCCTGCCCAAGGTCAGATACCAGCACTGCATGGCACAAATAATTTGCTGTGCATAAAGCTGTGTACATTTAAGAGACTCGATGCAACATCATGAAGGAATTGATTTCTCCCAGCCCCCCTTTTTCTTTTCTCCTCCTTGCATCGATCTAAAGCAGCAGTAGTCCCTCATAGACCAGCATTTCAGTTACGATTCTACTGGGTCCCAATACCATGAACGTCTTGCCTGACACAATAGCTTGAGGCAATAATAGTGTTTTCAGGTCTAAAGGAGGCATCTTTTTGACCTTGCAAATGTTTTTTTACAGTACAGATACGTTTTTTTCATGCTGTATCCTGCCCAAGGTCAGATACCAGCACTGCATGGCACAAATAATTTGCTGTGCATAAAGCTGTGTACATTTAAGAGACTCAGCCTCAGGAGGTGTCTTGTAATTTCTAATCGTAATGTTCCAGAAAAGGCTGTATTTCCATGGTGCACTTTATCTGCTGGCTGCAGGAGGCTTCAGGCAAACATTACTAACACAGCATTAGCCCCTGGGGAGAGTGCCGGTGAAGATGATGCAGTGCATTCATATAAGAGAGTTTCTTCCGTATGTTTGCTTTCCAGTCAGAGCTACTTTGAGTCACATGTAGTCCCTGGAACAGGTTAAAGCAATTAAAGAATAATGGAAAAGTCATTCCTGTATTATTTTTTTACTTTTAACTATCACCAATGCAGAAGCCTCCATTGACAGATCTGACTCTTACGATGGACATCTCGAGTACTCGGAAGTGACAGTGATGATTTGGGTGTTAACTTGTGGTCCAGTTAGTTAGAGGGGGGGGGGGTGTCCACTTGAAAAACTGTACACAGTGATTTGATGCACCATCTGAAAATCATGCATTGAGACTTTGATAAAGCAGCAACATTGTTGTATAACCAACAATTGAAAAACAGACCATATCTAGTTCCTTCTAACCCCCAGGAAATCTCCTCAGTTGATGAAAATGCACATTCCCGTTTGACAGACAGTTTTTTTTTCCCTGTTAAAAATATCTTAACATTACATATCAGCCTATGATATATATCATCTTGTCATTCTGCTGGTCCTAGAAATCTCAGTTCTGTTCTGAGGACTGGGGGCCTTGAGGAAGCTTCCTTAACTGCTTTGTTTTACTACGGTTTAATGCCTGTGCTTTGATCGAGCTCTCTGGTTGCTCTTGCCTCTGATTCTGTGCCTTATCTGTTGGAGGATGTTATCACACTGCATCTAATCAGCAGCCAGGTCACCCTGGCTTAATCCTGCAGCAGTGTGGCACTGCATGCAATTCATCAGAACAGGCGTTGCTGTCGAGATCAGGGATAACAAGAGGATAAAAACGCGCAGCACATTGCTGGCTCTCCAGGGCTGATGGAGAAGCACTTATAGCATCCAAATGGAGAGGCTGATTTAGAAGAGAGGCCATCTCTCATCCGTGAGAAAATCTGCAGCACTGTTAGCACCCTTTGTGGTTTGCAGATAATTGTGAGAGTTTTAGGCAGAAAGTGGACGGCGCTTATTTTTTTGATTGATGATTCTGAATGCAATGTCAATGGAAGATTTCTTTTACATATTGAATTTAAAAATTTTTTCCTTCTGCTTCCTCAGGTTCTGTGAATCACCCACAAGTGACCTGGAGATGAGAAATGGCCGTGGACGGGGTAAAAGAATGAGGCCCAATAGCAATACACCAGTCAATGAGAACAGCAACTCCTCTGATAACAAAGGCAGCAACAACAGCAAGACTCGAGCCGCATCCAACAGCAAAGGGCGACGGGGCAGTCAGAATTCCTCTGAGCGGCGCACCCCACCAAATAGCAACACTGAGGATGTAAAAGCTAGTCCTTCATCTGCTAACAAACGCAAGAACAAACCTGCCTCAGACATGGAGCCCAATTCCAGTTCAGAGGACACTAAGGGTAGCAAACGTATGCGCACCAATTCAAACAGCGGAATACCTCATACTATTCTTCCCCTCTCCAACATCAAAGCTGAATCCTTGCCTCCCTCTTTGGATCGCAGCTGCCCCTCACCGGTGCTCATTGACTGCCCCCATCCCAACTGCAACAAGAAGTACAAGCACATTAATGGCCTGAAGTATCACCAGGCTCGTGCTCACAATGATGATGACATCAAGCTGGACATAGATGGCGATAGTGAGTATGGTGAGGACTCCACTTTGCACCCTGAGCCAGGCAGTTGCAATGGTGCATCCATTTCTCAGAAGGGCTGTGCATCTCCTGCACGGTCAGTCACCCCCAAAGGCAGAGGATTTGATGCCCAGAGCCCATCACCATCATCAGGAAAGTTCAGCTCCAAGCAGCCTGGTAAAAAGAAACCAGAGGCTGAGCATGATTCTGGTGTGCCCATGGATGGCGGTGAAGATGGCCCATGTCTTACAGATGAGACAAGCAATGATGGCATTGATGATAAAAGAGGCTTGGACAAAGCTAAGAAGTCTGGCAGTGGTACCAAGGCAGACAAGCTCGCTCAGAAGGCAATAAAGTCAGCAAGGCCCCTGGTTCCTTCTTTACCTCCACAGCAGTTGTATGCCTTACCAACCTCTGGCTTCCCTGCCCCCAATTCTGCCTCCTCTTCCAGTATAGGCTCTGTGGTCCAGTCCATTAGCAAGAGTCCCCAAATAAAAACCATTCAAACCAAACCTGCAGTAATGGGAGATCCCTCATTGAACCCAGCCTTGGGCAGCTCTAAGGACAAGAAAAAGAAAGATAAAAAAAAGAAGGAGGGCAGTAAGGAAGGAGACAGTCCAAAAGCCCCTGGGAAAGGAGGGAAACCTGAAGGAGGCAAGAGCCCATATTCTGAGAGCTCAGACCAAGGCAGCAAGAGTGAGGGGCTGTTAAATGGATCCACAGATCCACATCAAAGTCGGCTAGCCAGCATGAAAGCGGAGGCAGACAAAATCTACAGCTTTTCGGACAATTCTCCCAGTCCTTCTATTGGTGTGGCCAGTCGGATAGAAAGTGGGGGGATGGCACAACCTCTCACTCCACTTCATGTAGTTACCCAAAATGGGGCAGATAACTCTTCTGTGAAGACCAACAGCCCAGCATACTCAGACATCTCTGATGCAGGGGAAGATGGAGAGGGCAAAGTGGAAGGTGTGAAGGTCAAGTCTGAAGATCAGGCAGGTCGGGAAGGTGCCAAGAAATCCCTGTTCCCATCCCAACCACCAAACAAAGACTCTTGTTGCCCAGGCTATGAAACGTACTACTCGCCCAATTATGGAAACCGAAACCCCAGTCCAGGAGTCTCTAACACTGTCCCATCATTGCAAGATGGTGCAGTGAAGGTGAAAAAAGAGGAAGACCCAGAACCAGGGAATGACAAGGGCAAATCAGAGCCACCTGAAGATCGAAAGCCAGACATAGGTGCATCCTCTCAACAGCCACAGCAGCCTTCAGTCATTCAGCAACGTTCTAGCATGTTCATGCAGCCCCTCTATTACAATCAGTATGCTTATGTTCCTCCATATGGCTATTCACCTGATCAGGCCTACCATAACCACCTGATGAACACAAACCCAGCTTACAGGCAGCAGTGTGAGGACCGACAGCGGCAAGCAGCTGAGCAGCATCGTGCCGCAGAGAGGAAATCAGAGGCTGCTCAGAAGGATAGGGAAGCATCCATGAAGTCAGAAGAATGGAAGCAGAAAGCTTCGGTTCCTCCTACCTTGTCTAAAGCACCAAGTCTCTCAGACTTAGGCAAACCGTCCCCACAGGGCAAGCCCAAAGATCCCTCGGAGCCTGGCAAGTCAGTCATTATCCCCAAAGGAGAAGATGGCAAGGGACAGACCCAGCAAAGTGAGGGGTTGAAAATGAAGTTAAGTGAAGCTGGGCATCATGCGAAGGATGAGCAGAAACCAGGCCATGAGTCTGGGAGATCGGCTGTGGAGCAGGCAATGTACATGTACAGACAGGTATTGAACTTAATATGCCTTGAGCATTGCTTAAACATTCTTCTTGTTTCTTTCTACAATACAGTTGTTGAATCTTGAATCTTTCATAATGGGTATTTCAAACTACATTTTCTTTTTCAGGAGCCAGACTCTCGCCTGTGGCCCTACGTTTACCCAAGCAAGTACCCCGATGCTCAGAAACAGATTGATGAGGAGAGGTGGAAGGAAGAGAGAGATCGTGAACGAGAAAGGGACAGAGATCGGGACCGAGACCGTGAGAGAGACCGGAAAGGCAAAGACGAAAGGCAGCGTTCTAAAGACGCTCCCTCTAGAGAGGAATGCAAGGAAGGGCCAGAACCACGAACTTCATCGGCCTCAGAGGAGCATAGAGTCATCGGCAAAGATCCACGAGCACATATGCAGTTTTCCTCACATCTGCCGCAGCATCAGTCATATATGTCTTACATGCATGGATACCCTTACGGCCAGGGTTATGACCACAGCCATCCGGGATACAGGGGGATGCCTACTGTCATGATGCAGAATTACCCAGGTAAGTCCATTGTGGAGCTAACTACTTTGAACTAGCTTTTATGTTGATACTTTTGTTTTACACCACCTTAGGAAGCATTTAATTTTACCTTTAACTAGGATGCTGATATATAAAGGGTCACTATTAATTTCACCCCTTTCCTAGGGTCGTACCTGTCACCAGGGTACTCTTTTTCTCCATATGGCAATAGGATGCCACCTGGAGAGGAGGGTGAAAAAGCTCGTGCCAGTCCTACAGTGAGTGGCAAGTCTGCATCTGAGTCTAAAGCTCTTGATATCCTGCATCAGCATGCTAGCCAATACAAGAGCAAATCACCTACGGTGGGTGAAAAGACACCCCATGAAAGAGACAGAAGTGGGAGTGAGCGGGAAAGAGATGGTGAACGTCCGAGATCTTCGCCCTCTCAGAGGATCATGCCTTCCCACCATCACTTAGGCTATTCACTACTCCCAGGACAGTACGACCTATCTTATGCTACAGGTAAGCAATAAAAATAGCTTAGTCTAGGTTGACGTAAGGGGATGTTCTGTAAAGTCGTGTAGACATGTTTCTTTTCATGTGTTTGGACAGAAACCGGTCTTGTCCATGACTGAATTCCTGTTTTAAAAAGTAAGGTGTTTCTCCATCTCACAGGTATCTCCTCTTCAGCCATTGTTGCCAGTCAACAAGCCTCTGCCCCTTCACTTTACCCCCCAGCACGGAGGTGAGAATGGTAAGATGGTTCATCTTTATCTGCAAGCACAAAGATTTTACTTCATACATTGTAGGATTGGGCAATATAGCTATATATACAGTATTTTCCACCCCTTTTAAATATCTTAGTGTTTTTGTATTTGCCCTGAAATGGTTTTAGCAGAGGAACCATTATTTTTCCAAAAAGCCATTGTCGCTTGGTAGAGTCAAAATATTTAAAGCAAACTAGTAAAAAAAAAAAAAAAAAATCAAGATAATCAAACAATCATGAAAAATCTTAAAAACATAAAGAATTACATTCAGATGTTTTGTTTTGTTATATGGGCCATGCATAGTGATAAACAACCATATTTACCACATGTATATTTTCCCTAAAGTATTTTAAAGCATGCAAATGCTCTGGGGGGGGGGGGGGGTTTCAACATACATTGTTCAGTGTGTTTATTGTTTAAACTAGGCCGTTTAAAAGAACTGAGCTGCAGAAATTAACTGAACCTCCTAACTCATTTTTGCTGCTATAAAAATATGTCTTCATTTTCTTACACACACAAGCCCTGGCACAAGAAGTGGATGTATAACTAGGCTACTCCCATGGTCTTTATAAACTTAACGGCCAATAAAAAGCATATTAAAATCATCACAATATTCACAACACTAAGTTAATTTTATATTGCTAACAAAATAATATTGATATATTGTGACTGATTCTCTTGGACTCCCTGGAATTAAGTGCTGTACAGTCTTTGCTGTCCTCTAGTGGTTAAAAGCTATTATCCCAATGCCTTTTCATACTGACTACAACAGCTGTTTCGTCACATTTAATGCAACATATACATGTGTCTACTGTTTACATAAGTTATCATATTGGAAAATACATTATGACATGAAAATATTAATTAATTTTATTCTCATTCCCATTCTAGGGAGAAGTGACTGGCTGTTTTTCTGCAGACATGTGACTGGTTCACATGAGGATGTGATGTGGAGCTTATGGCATCAGTTCAATGATGTCCCTGATTTCTTTACTGTTCTTTTCCCCTGACTTCCCGACGTCTTTAACCAACACCGTCAGAGAGGAGACAGTGGATGCTGAGGTTTCTATGTTCACGCCTAACTCCACCTCGGGAAGCGCACATCCGTACACCTCCCTCTCTGTGCTGCTGGCTACATACTCAGGAGAGAGGAGACACGATCTGTCTGCAGAGACGTCATATGATGCGCAAGCTCTCAGAAAAACATGGACCTACAGAGTTTGGGAGATCTTGAATGAACCTGGATGCAAAGACATTCTGGAAGTCAGTCACTACATTGTGTTCAAAGCATGGGCAAACTGCTGCTCTAGAGCCATGAGCATTACCAAGGTTGCTGATGTTTTGTTTTTTTCTCTGAAGGATTCCAGCATCTTGGTTGCCGCTCTTCATCTTCATACACTTACGATCTATTTGTAGATTATGCAAGTGAAGTTATACCATTGCGAAGCTATCGTCAACATACTTGAGAGTAAACAGTTCTTTGTTCAAGAGGCATTTTTTTTAAACGCACTTCCCTGTCTTTATTGTTCATAGTTATGTTTCTTTCTCATTAATGGATGATGAACAAATCTCTCAAAGTCACTCCATCAGCTTAGCACTGGTCGTTTTGCTGTGCAAATGTTTTGTTCTCGAACAGGCAACTGCTTCAGTTTGCTTCGCATTGGCCGGTTCAAGAGTGACCTGATTTTTAGTTACACGATGGGCCTTCTGACATTTTGGATCATTTTCCGTGTTGTGGATAGAAGATGAAGCATTGGCTGCACTTTGACAGGGAGTGCCCCAAAAGGCAAGAACTTTGACTTCCAGACTGGATTTACGGATTTTTCTGGCCGGTATTGACCGTTATAATGTGCGGAGTCGAGGCTATCTGCTTCTCCCAGGCTCTAGATAGTCGTTTGGGACTCGATGTGTGTGTTTGCCAGTGGAGTTACCAGACTCTACTGAACTGTGTTGTCTGGTCACGAACTGAACCGTCACACACGGATACTTTGCTGCTTGCGAATCTCATGCCAGACTGCATGAGTGAAGTACAAAATGGAGCAAACCTTGAAGGCTTAGAGCTATCTGAGTAAGATAACCCCAAAAGAGGCTTCGAGCCAGCATCCAGCTTCTAGACGACTTCTACTTTGGGTCAGTCGTCCGATCCACAGACTCACGGAGCATGAAACAAGGAAGACCTGGAAAAACGTTCCCTCACTTTTTTCTGTACGTCTGCATGGTATGATCCAGCACTCGGTAAAAGCATTAATCCAGACAGAGAGCAATGCGACACAAGCAGACGTTCGTCCTTTTCTCCCTCACTATGTGCTTTCTGTATATACTGTACAGAGGAATTATTTTAAAAAAAGGTTGTTGGATGCTATCGGATTTTCTTACTCCGTCT